CGGGTCCCCGCCCCCCCCCATCCCCCCCATTGCATCAGTAAGTTTTCTACCTGCGCCTCAGCGCGGTTATTATCACCTTCCTCTGCGTACCGTGCGCCAACCCCCGCGGGGCCTACCGTAGTGTTTGCGGTCGGTGCTGCCGACTTACCTTCGCGGGCTTTCAGCAGCACGGTGTTGGCCACGATGTTCTCCAGCTCCATCGGTGAAAAGGTTCAAACACAGAGGTTTCGTCGATTCTCGTCCGGTCCGCGGGTCCAAAGCGGTACTATCGACTCGGCTCGGCTCGACTCGACTCGGTTCACTCACTCGTCACTCGTCCGAGCGGTTCTCGCTCTTATCGACACAGAGAACAGGATGTCAAACGGTTGGCGGCGCCGTGAGCTGAACATGGTTCTCGTCGCTTGCATTTTGTACTCCCGCTTCGCGCAAACGCTTTTTCCCATCGTGCGTAGCGTGGATGCGGAATCTCCCGCCGCACCTTCGGCTGCGCTCAGCCCGGCAGCATCGGTGACTTCGTCTTCTTCTTCTTCCTCCCTCTTCCTTCCTTCCTTCCAGCGGCGACGCTAGCTAGCTTTACATTACAGCAGCCTCGGCTTGAATGCACCAGAGAGAGGACTGCAGCGCTCCCCCCTTCCTCCCTCCTCCTCCTCCTCGTAATCAAAAAGGGCCGAGTCTGGACGTCACAGCGGAATTACGAACGACCCCGCCGGGAGCTCTGCTAATGTGACGGCAGCACAAGATGGAACCGGGCTCTTCACCGGAGGCTGCACTTCACCGTTTTGACCTGTGGTGGTGCTAATGTCGTTTATAAAAAAATGAGAATATGATCCGCCGCTGTTTTCATTGTATAATAAATACATATAAATATTTAAAATTATATTAATATAAAAATATTATAAATATATTTTTATATTTTTTAAAATTAAGTATATTATTTTACTATATAGTATATATAATATATTACTAGTACTTAATAATTCCATTCTGTTGAATGGAGAACATTTTATCCTCAGAAATTAGGGTAATGTCGTCCTCTAGTGGTAGATGTTTTACATTACACTTCCACGCCTTTTATGTAGTAAAACAATTGTGTACCTGTGTTTACTTCTGTGTATCTGTGTGTACCTTTGCGTACTTCTGCGTACCTCTGCGTACTTGTGTGTCCCTTTGCGTACCTGTGTGTACCTCAGCGTACCTTTGCGTACCTGTGTGTACCTTTGAGAAAACAAAAAATTTAAATTTTTTACTATGGTTCACAGTAATAATAACCAACAAAAAAAATGTTTTCTTTTTTTTTTTCCGTCACATTTTACCAAATAACACGAAGAGACATTTTTTTTCACTCTTTAATGGAGTATGAGTTTTTTATCATCGTCATAATCCATCGCATTCAGACCCTGGAGTCAATCCCAGCATTCATCAGGAAAAAGGCAGGATACACCAAAAAACCAAAAAAAAAAAAAAAAAAAAAAAAAAAAAAAAAAACCAACCATGTCTTGATTAGAAAGTGCCGACTATAAAATAACTAGCTAATTTCGCCAACGTAACCACTGTTTTCTGGTCATGATCTAACTTTAAGAGCACTGGTTGGATTTTTTTTCTCTTTTTTTTAAATTTTTTACATCCGCGGTTCAAATTAAATTCATACAGTATACATCGGAAAATAAGCGTTGCTCAAACCAGCCGTCGCAAAGTAAAAAAATCGTACGAGTCCCACACGAACTAAGAAGCCAGGCTCGTGAAACACATGAAGGGGGGGCGCTGTCAGTACTCGTCCAGGTTGTCGGCCTTGGGGACGGAGAGGCCTCTGTCTTTTAGGACCTGCTTCTTTACTTTCTCCGTCTCCTGTTTGGCTTGTTGCTGCAACCGTTGCTCCTCCAGGATCTCTTCTATGGACACTTGCTGCAGGACGGTGTCGCAGGCTTTGTCCACGTCCTGCAACACAAACCAGAAATAGTTTGGGGGAAAAAAAAAAAAAAAAAAAGATGAAGTCACGAAGTCAAAGGTCAGGGGAGTGACCTCACAGCTACGCCAACGGACAAAAAAAAAAAAATTTTTGTAGCCTAGCGGTTAAAAGACAGCTTTGGTAAGGCATTGTTTCTCAAAGACTGGGTCGTGACCCTCAGGTGGGTTCGCAAGAAAACTTTTTTGGGGTCGTCTTGCATTATGTTTCCAAGAAGTTACGAATAACGTCTATGACTTGGATCGCGAAGGTTTGTGACTTACTTGGGAAACACCAGTGTCGAGCAATGTTTCTCAAAGACTGGGTCACGACCCTTAAGGGTTCCCAAGAAAAAAACGTTTGGGAAACACTGGTGTAGAGCATTGTTTCTCAAAGACTGGGTCACAAGAGTTTTTTTTTTGGGGTCGTCGTTTACGAACAACTAATTGACTTGGATCGCGAAGGTTTGTGACTTAAAAAAAAAAAAAAAAAAAGGTTCAAATCCTGGGCCCGGGAGGAATACGATACAAGAGACGAAACTACCCGTTTATCAGGTGTTGCTCACCGGTAAGCGGACCACAATCTAATTCCAGTAGGGGTCAGTAAGTGGCTTAGCTTTTTTTTTTTACTGAAAATACAAGACATTTCTACGTTAATAAATTCTTGCTTAGGTTTTACAATATTCTGTAAATTCTGTTTGTAAGTAAAAATGTATTATTAGTTATGAATATTAAATTAAAATGAAAATCGGTAAATTTGCTTAAAAACGAACGTACTTAAATAACGAAACCCTCCCAAAAAAAAAATAAAATAGAAGAACATTAAATAGACTAAAATCGGTCTCAAATCAAAAAATAAACTCACGATTTCTCCGAGCAGGACGACATTTTCTCCTCTCACGATGAAGATTCCTCTGGGAATGTCGCCGAACTTCTTGCCCACGTGGATCCGCTCCACTGTCTGATGGAAAACTAAGTTCGCTGTTGGTGAGAAGAAATAAATATTAGTTTAACGCATGTACGACGTGAACCTAGCTACCCCCTTATCGGAGGAATTACCGAACTGGTCGATGCTCCTGAGGTAGCCGATAAGTGTCCTTCCATCCCGGAGCAGCACCAGGTGCTTCTCTGCGGGATTGAACCGTATTTACCGACTCAGTTCGTGTCACATTTTAAAGACAATAATGACTATTATGCGGCTACGCTGTTACTTACTGTCGATATCGTCTATCAAACTCGTCGTCCCCGGTACGTAGTTCATCTTGTGCCGCTCCTTCGCTGGTAATTCCGTCTGAAAATATGTTCGCCCTCTTAAGTCATGAATGTTTTTAAAAAATGATGTTTTTTCTGTGAAGAAGTGCAGCAACGGAAGTGTTTTTATATCAAGGCAGCGTAAACTTCCGTTTTTAAACATTTTTAAACGATAACGGAAATTTAAATATAAATATTTTAAGCATTATTGTTTTTAACTGCATTACCGACATTGTTGATGACGTAATTAGAGATCCTTTATGAACAGCAGCGAGTGGAGGACTCCTGTTATTATTCCCCGCCTCGGGGTCAACGACTCGGTGAGCCTT